CCACTTCCGGCTTTTTTCTTATGTGGTGCTGAGGAATCAAACCCAGGGCCTTGAGCATGCAAGGCAAGCGCTCTACCACTGAGCCACCTTCCCAGCCCGGTAGTGGCTAATTGTAAGTAAAAAAGCTGAGTGGACTTGAGGTCCTGAGTGGAAACTGTGGTACTGGTGGGAAGGTGGGGGAGGGTGTGACAAAGAAGGGAGTCCAGAGCTTTGGGTCTGGCCCTTCCAAGCTGCTAGTTTGGATGTTACATTGGGGCCTCAGTTTCCCTACTCAGAGTAGCTGTAGGGTGGTTGATGTTCCTGGCCCCTGTCTCCAGCTCACTTGGCTTCTTTCCATTCCCAAGGCTGAGCTCTGCCAATGACGTTGTGAGTGTTGGAGAGTCACTGTAGCCTTTGGGGGGCCCTTTTCCTGGGGTGGCCACCTGCCTGCCCACAGCATGGCGTCTGACACGCCTGAGTCTCTGATGTCCCTCTGCACTGACTTCTGCCTGCGCAACCTGGACAGCACCCTGGGCTACCTGCTGGACAAGGAGACTCTGCGGCTACATCCTGACATCTTCTTGCCCAGCGAGATCTGTGACCGGCTGGTCAATGAGTGAGTAAGCCAGGTTGGGCCAGGGCTGGGACTGTGTATGTGCATGGTGGGTATACGCACAGGTGTGTGTGGGTACAGAGGTCTATACATTACCATAGAGGTGGAGATGTGTATGTGCTGAGCTGTGTACAAATGTATGTACACACAGACATGGCAGCATAGCTAGGGTTGAGATTGCAGAGTGGTGAGCTCTAGAGACTTTCTGCCAGCCTAGGATTTCTCAATGAGCTGCTACCTATGCCACATTTCATTGAGGGTCGCCCTGTGCATAGAGTGTGTGTGTGTGTGTGTGAGTGTGTGTGTGTGAGAGAGGGGGGGGAAGGAAGGAGAGAGAACCACAAGTATGCATGTAGTGATGAGATGGAGCATGCCCTGCATATGAAGGAAGGTATTATATGCTGTCCCTGTGTGTGTACACATGTATGCAAATGGGTGTTCCCACAGGTAAACTAAGCACACAGACAAGTACAGGTTTATATACATGGTAGTGCTAGAATAAAGAATCCATGGCCTTATAAACATAGCTACTCAGGAGGCCCAGATCTGAGGATCACAGTTCAAAACCAGCCAGCCAGGGCAGGAAAATCCATGAGACTCCTATCTCTAATAAACCACCAGAAAGCCAGAGGTGGAGCTATGGCTCAAGTAGTAGAGTGCTGGCCTTGAGCAAAAATAGCTCAGGGACAGCACCCAGGACCCAAGTTGAAGCCCCATGACTGACACACACACACACACACACACACACACACACACACAAAGAGCCAGGTGCTGGTGGCTCACACCTGTAATCCTAGCTACTCAGGAGGCTGAGATCTGAGGATCGTAGTTCAAAGACAACAGGGCAGCAAAGCCGGTGAAACTCTTATCTTCAATAAACCAGTCAGAAAACTGGAAGTGATGCAGTGGCTGAAGTGGTAGAGAGCTAGCTTTGGGCTGAAGAGCTGAGGGACAGCGTTCAGGCCCAGAATTCAAGCCCCATGACTGATAAAAAAAAAAAAAAAGAAAGAAAGAAAAAGAAAAGAAAAAGAACCATCTCCAGGACCAGAAAAGGCCTGTGTCATGTGTGACGCTCAGGGCTCAGGTAGAGAGCACAGCAGCACAGCCAGGTTTGAGATCACAGAGTGCTGAGCTCCAGAGCCTGTTTGCCACCTAGGACTGCTGCCTGAGCTGCTGTCTGTGCTTGCTTTCATTGAAGGCTTGCCCTGTTCCCTACTGCAAATTCCAGACCACTTGGCATAATTGGCCAAGTGGAAAGGTTGGGTGCGGCTGCTAAGTAGTTGCATAAGATGGTATGTATGTCAGCCTGGTGGAGGGCCTGGCTATAGTATGCAGGGAATGGCATGTGTGTGTGGCTGTGTGGGGTACCCATGTGCATGTTGTGTGTGTACCTGCAGAGGAGGTTTAGGTGTCTGTGTTTGTTACGGGGGTGTCCAGGCTCTGCTCCTGAAGGAGTGATACCAACCATCGCTCTGAGAGTGACTTCTAGGCTTCTGGGCACCCTAACCACATCTGTACTATAGTAAGTGTCCATCTGTTGGGAGGAGGAGAGGGATTGTTGCTGGGTTGGTTGGGCTCTGAAGGTGCTCGGGTCCCTCCTTGAGTCATGTTCCTTCTGTCCCAGGTATGTGGAGCTGGTGAATGCTGCTTGCACCTTTGAGCCCCACGAGAGCTTCTTCAGCCTCTTCTCAGACCCCCGCAGCACTCGCCTCACCCGCATCCACCTGAGGGAGGACTTGGTGCAGGACCAGGACCTGGAGGCTATTCGCAAGCAGGTAAGACTGGCTGGCCAAAACACCACTGGGCTTGGGAACAGTACCTTCAGCGCTGCCAGTGCTGTCCCTGCTAGGCAGAGCACCTTCCCAGCCATCTGCTAAGGTGATGCCAGGGTGGATAGAGGAGGTGATGCTGACAGAGTTGTGCCCACACCTAGGACTTGGTGGAGCTGTACCTGACCAACTGCGAGAAGCTGTCCGCCAAGAGCCTGCAGACACTGCGCAGCTTCAGCCACACGCTGGTGTCCTTGAGCCTCTTCGGCTGTGCCAACATCTTTTATGAAGAGGAGAACCCGGGGGGCTGTGAGGACGAGTGCCTCGTCAACCCTACCTGCCAGGTGCTGGTGAAGGACTTCACCTTTGAGGGCTTCAGCCGCCTCCGCTTCCTCAACCTAGGCCGCATGATTGATGGCGTCCCTGTGGAGTCGCTGCTGCGGCCACTGCGCTCTCTGGCCGCCCTGGACCTGTCAGGCATTCAGACAAGCGACGCCGCTTTCCTCACACAGTGGAAGGACAGCCTGGTGTCCCTTGTGCTCTACAACATGGACCTTTCTGATGACCATATTCGTGTCATCATCCAGCTACACAAGCTACGGTGAGCTGCCCACCATGCCCAGCTCACCAGGACAGGGTGGGCTCTGTCATTTCTGGGGGTTCAGCTCTGGCCAGGTGGAGGGTAAGGACAGAAGCGCTGTTTACTCCTGAAACCCCATGTTCCAGCTGGGGAGGTCTGTTGAGGGCACTGGGTCTCTGCAGGGCTCCTTCTCAGGATGCCCTGATCATCTGTGGGGGAGTGGGGCCCTTCCCTGCCACAGTCTGAGGGAACCCCCGCCCCACCTGCAGACACCTGGACATCTCCCGAGACCGCCTCTCCAGCTACTACAAGTTCAAGCTGACCCGGAAGGTGCTGAGCCTCTTCGTGCAGAAGCTGGGGAGCCTCATGTCCCTGGACATTTCCGGCCACATGATCCTGGAGAACTGTAGCATCAACAAGATGGACGAGGAGGCGGGGCAGACCAGGTGGGGGCCATGGATTCACCAAGCTCTCACTTAGTATCCTCTGCCTGCCACAGTGCCCTGCTGGGTAGGGGAGATAAGCCAGTCAGGCCCTGTCCTCTGTGGGCCTGGTGAGCCAGTAGGGACAGACAAGTCATTTTTGGGTGGGGCTGTGGGGCGGGAGGTGCAGGTTCTGTGATGGCACGAGGATCAGGAGGAAGAGGAATGGTACCTGGCTGTCAGGAAAGCCTTTCTGTCTGCCAGAACAACAGCACGTGTCAAGGCCAGGAGGGGAGTAGATGAGCCCTGGGAAGCCCCTGTGCCCAGACTGGCAGAGTGCAGCATACTGTGGCTTGGGAAAATGGGGCCAGCAGAGACTGCTGCTCAGCAGGTGTCACTCACCTAGCTAGCGCCAGAAAGGCCAGTGGCCAGGTCACATTTAAACCCAGGCACTGTCATTGACCACAAGCTCTGCCAAGCTGACCAGCTTGCCCCTTCATGACTAGCTGAGACGTGGCCAGCATGTCCTTTCTAGCATGGCTGTAGTGGTGACTGTCCCCTGGCATACTGCTACCTCCCATCCCATCCCATACATGCTCTCCAGTGTTCCCCGCCACCTCTCCCCCATGGGGTCCATCTCCCCTGCCCTTGAGAAGAAAAGACTCTAGAGCCAGTAATGGCCAGAAAGCCCCCTGGGGAAGCCCCAATCAGGCTTGGCCCCAAGCCACTGATCCAACACGCTCCTTCCACAGCATTGAGCCTTCTAAGAGCAGCATCATGCCTTTCCGGGCCCTGAAGAGGCCCCTGCAGTTCCTCGGACTCTTCGAGACCTCCCTGTGCCGCCTCACGCACATTCCAGCCTACAAAGTGAGAGGCAGGCGAGGAGGGGAGGAACGGGGAGCTGGGACAAGGGAAGGGATGGCGGGGTACCTGGGTGTCTGACCTCTTCTGCTGGTCCTGGGCATGTCTCCTCCCCAGGTGAGTGGTGACAAAAATGAGGAGCAGGTGCTGAACGCCATCGAGGCCTACACTGAGCACCGGCCTGAGATCACATCCCGAGCCATCAACCTGCTGTTTGACATTGCACGCATTGAACGCTGCAGCCAGCTCCTGCGGGCCCTGAAGGTCAGCCGTAAGCCCAGAGATGGCTCCTGGCCAGCCAGGCCTTCTCAACACTCTCTTCCCCCAACCCTAGGGAGCAGATAGTCTTGCCTGCAGACCCCAACCCCACCTGGCAGTGCAACTTCCTTCCCCAGGGCCTTGTTCAGACCCCATGCCCACCATTGCCCTATGAGAGGAGGCCTGTGTCCATGCCCCTTACACACACACACTATCTTCACACAGCTGGTCATCACGGCCCTCAAGTGCCACAAGTACGACAAGAACATCCAAGTGACAGGCAGCGCTGCCCTCTTCTACCTGACCAACGCCGAGTACCGCTCAGAGCAGAGTGTGCGGCTGCGCCGGCAGGTCATCCAGGTGGTGCTGAATGGCATGGAATCCTACCAGGAGGTGACGGTGAGCCCCCTGCCCACCATGGCCCGCATGCTTTGCCCAGCCACCCACCCCGTTCCTACTTCTGAGGGCCCTGGACCCTCAAGTGCTCACCTGGCTGTGGGCTGATGTCCCCAGTGCCCTCTCCCCGGACACCACTCCCAGTCCCTTTGAGCTGACATGCAGGGTCCTGGAACCCAGCCACCAGCTGTCTGTTGCCCACAGCCACAACCATCTACCACTCCGCCCTGCATGGAGGCTTGCCTCTGGGCCTCTGTTCGCTTTTCCCCAGCCTCTCTGCCCCTGACACTCTTCCCAGGGTCTACTTTTATTAATGACTGTTTTTACTAGAAAAGCAATAAAAATGTGTATTATTCCTAATAATAATTACACATAGAACATAAAACCACACATAATTCCACAACACAGAGTACCACTATTGTTCTGGATTTCAGTCTTGCATTTGTGTTTGGTAAATGGGGTCATTTACACAAACTGTGCTCTCTGTGTGGTGTGGGTATTTGGTATTTGGCAGTGCCTTGTGGATGTGAGCATTTCTCAGGGCAATACTGGTGCTTGAACTGACCGACATAAACAAGCAAACAAAAAAAACAGATTGCATAACAAACAAAAAACTTAAAGTGATACAAGAACAAGTTTCTTTTGTTGTTGGTGGTGGTAGTGGTCGTGGAGCTTGATCTCTGGGCCTGTGTGCTGTCCCTCAGCTCTTCAGCTCTAGGCGAGTGCTCTACCTCTTGAGCCACAGCACCACTTCTGGTTTTCTGAGTGGTTTATTGGAGAGATAAGAGTCTCAAAGACTTTCCTGCCGAGGCTGGTTTTAAACCACCATCCTCAGATCTCAGCCTCCTAGTAGGATTACAGGTATGAGCCACCAGTGCCCAGCTTTATTTTTTATTTTGTTAGTATTTCTTTTGTCAGTCTTGGGTCTTGAACTCAGGGCCTGGACACTGTCCCTGAACTTCTTTTGTTCAAGGCTAGCACTCTACCATTTAGCCACAGCACCACTTCCCAGCTTTTTCTGTATATATAGTACTGAGGAATTGAACCTGTGGCTTCATGCATACTAGGCAAGCGCTCTACCACTAAGCCACATTCCCAGCCCCATAACAAGTTTCTTAGGAAGTGCAAGTCCCATCTCCTCCCTGAATAGAGCTAGTTTGAATGGTTCCACTACTCGGTGTGGTCTTAGCTGCTAGAGCCTGCTCACTGACCAAGCCCCACACCCTGGGTTGTAGCTCACAAGGAAGGTTGTGCCCTTGTGTCTGTTACTGAATCTGTTCCAGGGTTAAACCCTTAGCTTGACCTTTATTTCTGACTCATTACTGACTGTACTTAACTGATGATCCTTCCAAGACATTTTTTTTTTTTTTTTGTCGGTCGTGGGGCTTGAACTCTGGGCTTGGGCGCTGTCCCTCAGCTCTTCAGCTCAAGGCGAGCGCTCTACCACTTGAGCTACAGCGCCACTTCCGGTTTTCTGGTGGTTTATTGGAGATAGGAGTCTCACGGCTCTCCTGCCCGGGCTGGCTTTGAACCGAGATCCTCAGATCTCAGCCTCCTGAGTAGCTAGGATTACAGGCGTGAGCCACCAGCACCCGGCTCTTCCAAGACATTTCTACAAATAGAATTGCTCAAGCAATAGATATATAAGTTTTTAGGCATTTTGTACTTATTTCCAAATTGTCCTGCAGAAAGGCCAGGTGGGGGCATAGCTCTGGCTGGGTGGAAGACACACATTTCTCAGACTTGTTTGATTTGGTCTGATGAGAGTTTTGGGTTTTGAACTCGGTGCCTGAGTCCTGTCCCTTAGCTTTTTATCTAAAAGCTGATGCTCTATCACTCAAGCAACAACGACACTTTTGGTAGCTAATTGGAGATAAAAGTCTCATGGACTTTCCTGCCTGGGTTACTTTTGAACCGCAATCCTCAGCTCTCAGCCTCCTGAGTAGTTAGGATTACAGACCAGAGCCATGGATGCCTAGCAACTTCTCTGGCCTTTAGAGTGGTAGTTCTTTTTAATTTCCTAATTGGATAAGAGGAATATTTTTTCTTTTCTTCTTCTTCTTCTTCTTCTTCTTCTTCTTTTTGTTGTCAGTTATGGGGCTTGAACTCTGGGCCTGGCTGCTATGCTATCCCTCAGCTCTTGAGCTCAAGGCAAACGCTCTCCCACTTGAGCCACAGTGCCTCTTCTGGTTTTCTGGTGGCTTATTGGAGATAAGAGTCTCACAGACTTTCCTGCCTGGGCTGGCTTTGAACTATGATTCTCAGAACTCAGCCTCCTGAGTAGCTAGGATTACAGGTGTAAGCCACCGGGCGCCTGGCGAGGAATATTTTTTCTAATGAAAACATACCAATTGAAGACTCCTAACTGAATTAATAAGCCCTATCAGGTGAAGGAAAATCAAAATAACAGGAAGCTACATTTAATCTCAAGACTGACAACAATCAACATTGACAGGGGGGGTACCCTCCCTCACTTTCCACTGGTGACATAGGTGGTATGGCGGCCTATGGGGGGGGGGACAGACAATTGACAAAACCTACCAGAATTGTAAATTCATTTACCTTTCTGTCTAAGAACTTCAAGGTTAGAAATATGCAAAGAAGAAAAAGATATGAGGGCTGGGAAGGTAGCTCAGTGGTAGAGTGCTTGTTTTGCATGCCTGAGGCCCTGGGTTTGATTCCTCAGCACCACATAAGCAGTAAAAGCCAGAAGTGGTGCTGTGGCTCAAGTGGTAGAGTGCTAGCCTTGAGCTGAAAAGCTGAGGGACAGTGCTCAGGCCAAGAATTCAGACCCCATGACCAACAAAAAAGAAAAAGGAAGAAAAAAGAAAAGATATGAATACACGCACCCTTATTTGATGAAGCAGAAATCAGGAGAGACAACAATGTTCTTGGGGATCAGGTTCCTGTATAGGTAATAATAAGTAATCCCCATCCATCTCCACAGTGGACTTGTACAGTACCATCGGTCAGCCTATGAGGAAAGACATCCACTGCATGCCGATGATTTAAGAGTCATTTGGGGCTGGGAATATATATGGCTCAGTGGTAGAGTGCTTGCCTAGCATGCATGAAGCCCTGGGTTTGATTCCTCAGTGCCACATAAACAGAAAAAGCTTGAAGTGGTGCTGTGGAGTGCTAGCCTTGAGCACAAAGAAGTTGAGAGACAGCCCAGGCTCTGAATTCAAACCCCAGAACAGGCAAAAATTTAATTAAAAAAAAAAAACATTTTGGACTGTTCTGTCTGATAAATTTTTTTTTTGGGGGGGGGTCCAGTCGTGGGCCTGAACTCTGGGCCTGGGCGCTATTCCTCAGCTCTTCAGCTCAAGGCTAGCACTCTACCACTTGAGCCACAGCTCCACTTCCGGCTTTTTTTTCCTGCTTATGTGGTGCTGAGGAATTGAACCCAGGACCTCATGGGTGCAAGGCAAGCGCTTTACCACTGAGCCACCTTCCCAGCCCATGATAAATTCTTTTATACTTCCCTAACCCAAATATGTAATTATTTTTGCCTTGTGGATGCCACCAAACTTTATGGTGATCACCTCTTAGGAGTGACATGGAGACTTTGGACATGTATGGTGGTGTATTCCTGTAATGCCAGCACTCAGGATGCTTACACAGGAGGATCAAAAGTTTGAGGCCAGCTTGGGCTACATAGCAAGTCCCTGTATGGAAAAAAAAACCTTTATATAACTAATATACACTAGCCGGGCGCTGGTGGCTCACGCCTGTAATCCTAGCTACTCAGGAGGCTGAGATCTGAGGATCGTGGTTCAAAGCCAGCCCGGGCAGGAGAGACCGTGAGACTCCTATCTCCAATAAACCACCAGAAAACCGGAAGTGGCGTTGTAGCTCAAATGGTAGAGCGCTCGCCTTGAGCTGAAGAGCTGAGGGACAGTGCCCGGGCCCAGAGTTCAAATCCCACAACCGACAAAAAAAAAAAAACAACTAATATACACTAATAAAAAAAAGGGAGGGAAGAAAATAAAGGAAAAAAATAGATTGACTTTCTACTTCAGTGACATGTGAAAGTTTATGGTAAGTATTGCTTTTATAATTTAAAATAATTTTTTTTTTTTTGGTCAGTCATGGGGCTTGAACTCTGGGCTGCGCTCTTCAGCTCAAGGCGAGTGCTCTACCGCTTGGGCCACAGCGCTACTTCCAGGTCTCTAGTGGATTATTGAAGATAAAGAGTCTCAGGTACTTTCCTGCCTGGGCTGGCTTTGAACCGAGATCTTAAGATCTCAGCCTCCTGAGTAGCTACGATTACAGGCATGAGCCACTGGCACCCGACCTAAAGTAAACATTTTTAGTCAGGCTCTGGTGGCTCATGCTTATAATCCTAGCTACTTGGGAGATCTGAGGATCATGGTTAAAAGCCAGCCTGGGCAGGAAAGTCTGTGGAGACCCTTATCTCCAATTAACCACCAGAAAACTGGAAGTGAAGCTGGGGCTCCAAGTGGTAGAGTACTAGTCTTGTGCAAGAGAGTTCAGAGACAGTGCCTAGGCACTGAGTTCAAGCTCTACGACCAACAGAAACATAAAAATAAAGAATAAAATAAACTTTCCCCCAAATTAAAAAATATATAAATGCTCACACCTATAATCCTAGGATTGAGGTTCAGAGCCATTCTAGGTAGGAAAGTCTTATCTTCAGTTGACTACAAAAAAGCTAGAAATGAAGCTCTCGATCAAAGTGGTAGAGCACTAGCCTTAAGCACAAAAAAAGCCCAGAGACAGTGCCCAGGCCCCGAGTTCAAGTCCCAGGACCAGCACAAATGGTTGGTTGGTTGGAGATGAAGCTCAGTGGTTGAATGTTTAGCATGCATGAGTTCCTGGGTTTAATTCCCAGCACTGTAAAAGTTGTATGTGTTTGTTACATGTGTGTCTGTGAAGTATTAGGAGAAAGAACAAAAAGTTAATCAAGGCCAGGCACTAATGGCTCACACCTGTAAATCTGGCTACTTGGGATCTGGAGATCAAGGTTCAAAGCCAGCTCCAGCAGACAAATCCAAGAGATTTTTTACCTCCAACTAACCAGCAAAACGCCAGAAGGAGGGGGCTGGGAAGGTGGCCCAGCGGTAGAGTGCTTGCCTTGCATTCATGAGGCCCTGGGTTCGATTCCTCAGCACCACATAAGCAAAAAAAAGCCAGAAGTGGCGCTGTGGCTCAAGTGGTAGAGTGCTTGCCTTGAGCTGAAGAGCTGAGGGACAGTGCTCAGGCCCAGAGTTCAGGCCCCACAACTGATGATTTAAAAAAAAAAAAAAAAAGCCAGAAGGAGGTATGGCTAAAGCTGGTGGAATGCCCTCTTGAGCAAAAAGGCCAAACGAGTTCAAGCCACAATACCACACACACAGTGTGAACACACAATAATGTCTCTGAATCACATGACATAAAGCATAATGAATGCCTAGTACCTGACAAGGAAGAAGGGCATGTGCTGAGACACCAAATGTGCAAATGGTACAGAGAATAGGAGCCCAGCAGCTACCCTGGCACAGCCTCCGTGAAGAGGTGCCCAGGGACCTGTGCCCTAGAAACACCCACACTGCTGACACCTGACCATCAGCAGGAGAATACATGAACACATGGAAGAATCGTGATGGAAAACTGTACAGTGGTGCAAAGAAAAGGAACATCAGCTGCATGTAGCCAGTTGAGGTTGAAAGCCAAGCTGAACAGAAAAGGCAGGGAGCAGTGTCTGGTTTCCTGGTAACAGCTTAAGCCAGGAAGGGACAGATGAGGACTTTTGGTGCTAATGGTGATGTGGTGATGTTTCTTGACCCAGATAGTGGCTATATGGCTTTTTGTTTTTGTCACTTGTGGGGCTTGAACTCCAGGCCTGGGTGCCATCCCTGACCCTCTTTGTGCCCAGGACTAGTGACCTACCACTTGAGTCAGCACCATTTCCGATTTTTTAGTGGTTAATTGGAGAGGAGTGTCTCCAGGGTCTTTTCCTGCCCAGGCTGGCTTCAAACCACGATCCTCAGATGTCAGCCTCCTGAGTAGCCACGATTTCAGGCATGAGCCACTAGCACCTGGCTGGGTGTTTGTTATAATTTATAATTATTTATGAAATTGTATACTTGTGGGGTCTCTGAATGTTTTTAAAACACTTTTGTGTGTATGTACTAGTCTTGGGAATTGAACTCAGGTCCTGGGCACTGTCCCTGAGCAAAAGCTTTTGCTCTGCCTCTTGAGTCACCTTAGCTTTCTGAGTAGCTAGGATTTCAGACATGAACCACTTGTGCCTGGTGCAAAGTATTTTTTAAATAGCCTTAGTAAAACACAACAAAAAAGCCATGGAGTGCCTCTTCAGAGAGCCTTCCTGGAGTACCCGGCTCCAGTTGACCTGGTGCCTCCATGAAGCCCTGGGTCCCGATGGCCAAGGCTGCCCCTGAACGTGCCCTGCCTGTCTCCTGTCCTGGCCCAGGTGCAGCGGAACTGCTGCCTGACACTGTGCAACTTCAGCATCCCCGAGGAGCTGGAGTTCCAGTACCGCCGTGTCAACGAGCTCCTGCTCAGCATCCTCAACCCCACCCGGCAAGATGAGTCCATCCAGCGCATTGCCGTGCACCTGTGCAACGCCCTGGTGTGCCAGGTGGACAATGACCACAAGGAAGCCGTGGGCAAGATGGGCTTCGTTGTGGTATGTGGTGGCAGACACGCTGGGGCGTGAGTCACTAAGGAGGGCTGGGGTTTCACTAGGTGTGGAGAAGGCTGTGCTGAAGTATGGAGGCTTTAGTCTTGATAAAGAGCGGTGTGTGCGTGCGTGTGTGTGTGTGTGTGTGTGTGTGTGTGTGTGTGTGTGTGTGGCTGTGCTGAAGTATAGAGGCTTTAGTCTTGATAAAGAGCCGTGTGTGTGTGTGTGTGTGTGTGTGTGTGTGTGTGTGTGTGTGGCTGTGCTGAAGTATGGAGACTTTAGTCTTGATAAAGAGCAGTGTGTGCGTGTGTGTATGTGGCTGTGCTGAAGTATTGAGGCTTTAGTCTTGATAAAGAGCAGTGTGTGTGTGCGTGTGTGTGTGTGTGTGTGTGTGTAGCCCGTGACTTTGCTAGGCAAATGTTCTACTTCTGAGCTACCAGTGGTAACCCTGGAAAGATTCCTTAGTAGTAGTGACTGTTGCTGTACCCCCATGGTTTTCCTCCCCCTTTCCCAAGTCCCCCACACCATGGTCCATTAGTGCCCACTTTACAATCCATTCCTGCCTTCTCAGACAGGAATGTGGCAGGCGTCCCTGGAACCACACGGCTGGGATGGAGTCAGTGTGCTCAGTGTGAGCCTGACATCAGTGTAGGTGGTGAGCAGAGCGGGCCAGCTGCAGGTGTCCACAGCACAGGTAGCTAGCTCGCAGGAAGAAGAGAGGAAGGCATGGGCTCAGGTGCACCTCACCACCGTGCCCCATTTCACCAAGGAGTCAGGGCAGGGCCTACCAGACCTCCTGGTGCCAGCCCTGGGGTTCTGGCCTTGCATGCCTTCAAATATCCTCCCCAAAAGAGGCCGCTCCTGCAGGGCTGCATTCACCTAGAGTGGGTTGTGATGCCCCTCCACGCTGGGGTCCTAGCTCCACTGGCCCCTGCCAAGCTCTTTCCTCTGCCTGCAGACCATGCTGAAGCTGATTCAGAAGAAGCTGCTGGACAAGACGGTAAGTCAGGGCTTCCAGGACCCTCTGCCTGTCCCCGATGGACTACTCGCCGGGCCCCATATGCTCCCCAGGGTCAGGAGCTAAGCTGTCTCCCCCTCCCCCGCCCCCTGCCCCCAGTGTGACCAGGTCATGGAGTTCTCCTGGAGCGCCCTGTGGAACGTCACCGATGAGACGCCAGACAACTGTGAGATGTTCCTCAACTTCAACGGCATGAAGCTCTTCCTGGACTGCCTGAAGGTGCGGCCGGCCACCCGGGCCCCACATCCCATGGGGCAGAGTGCAGCAGCCAGCAGGAGCTCCAGAGACCTACCCTGGCCCTCACCATATGCCGGGTCCTGTGAGGTCCCCTGTCCCCTCCAAGGGAAGGCTTACCCCAGCCTCGCAGCAGTAATTTCTCACACTGCCCACAGCTGACCAGGATCCACCCCATAGCAGTGGACAGCACTCCGCCCAGCAGGATGGGCTGTCAGTCTAAAACATACCCCACAAACTCGTGTTGTGTGCTGAGCTACGCTTGTCCCAGATGTTGGCTTGCTCTCCCCAGCTTTTGTTCTATGACACAGTCTCTGCTTTTTTACTCCCTCATCACATGGCCCCAGCTCTGCCCTGGTGCTGTGGAAAGAAGCCAGGCGGCTATTGTACTCCTCCCTTATGGAGTTGCATTGCAGACTGATGCCCTCAGAACTTTTTTTTTTTTTTTTTTGGCAGTCCTGGGGCCTGAACTCTGGGCCTGGGCGCTGTCCCTCAGCTCTTCAGCTCAAGGCTAGTGCTCTACCACGTGAGCCGCAGTGCCACTTCTGGCTTTTTTTGCTTATGTGGTGCTGAGGAATCGAACCCAGGGCCTCATGATGCAAGGCGAGCACTCTACCACTGAGCCACCTTCCCAGCCCCCTCAAAACTTTTCAAGGGGACACCACCAGGCACTTGGTAATTAAGTAGGAATCCATTGGTCCCCAATGGCTGAGTGGTCCCCGACGGCTCTCATTTTGCCAGGAATTCCCAGAGAAGCAGGAGCTCCATCGGAACATGCTGGGGCTCCTGGGGAACGTGGCAGAGGTGAAGGCGCTGCGACCTCAGCTGATGACTTCTCAGTTCATCAGCGTCTTTAGGTAAGTGTCTGCCTCTCTTCTTACGCTGTGGCTGCCTGGAAGCGCAGACCTGTAGTCTGTGTTCCAATTATACAGAACTCTAGTCACTGTCACAAATGCTCTTAGCAGTTTTATTTTGTATTGGTCCTGGGGCTTGAAATCAGGGTCTGGGCACCGTCCTTGAGCTTTTTTTCCTCAAGGCTGCCACTCTGCCACTTGAACCACAGCTCCATTTCTAGCTTTTTGTTGGTTAGTTGGAGATAAGAGTCTCACAGACTTTCCTGCTTGGGTTTGGCTTCAAACTGTAATCCTCACATCTCAGCCCCCTAAGTAGCTAGGGTTATAGGTGTGAGCCACTGGTGCCTAACACTGTAGTGTTTTCTTGTTCTTTCAGCCTACCATAAATGCTTTCCTTGTAACTATGGTTTATGTAACCTGAGATCCCTTTAGAATGAATCTGATAAAGAGACACCAGATGGCTAGACATTAGTGTCAGCCTCCTTGAATGCATCCGCATGTGCAAAGTGAGCTCCCAGCACTCATACACAGCAGCCTTGGTGACATGGTAGTGAGGCCAAGGCTGTCGCTCTGCTCAGGCTCTCTATAAATGCAGTCTTCATGCCTTTTGTTTGGGATTTCCCTTCTGGCTTTTTGTTTTTTCTTTTATGTTCTTAGCTGATGTTCATGAAGACAAGGAGTGCTTAGTGCTATGCTGCTGAACAGATATCTTACCTAAATCTTGTGGGTTTTTTTTGTTTTTTGTTTTGTGGGTCCTGGGGCTTGAACTCTGGGCCTGGGAGCTGTCCCTCAGCTCTTCAGCTCAAGGCTAGTGCTCTGTATCTTGAGCCACAGCACCACTTCTGGTTTTCTGAGTGGTTTATTGGAGATAAGAGTTTCACAGATTTTCCTGCCCGGGCTGGCTTTGAACTACCATCCTCAGATCTCAGTCTCCTGAGTAGCTAGGATTACAGGCAGGCGTGAGCCACCGATGCCCAGCATCTTACCTAAATCTTAACTGCATCTATATATGTGTGTGTTGGGTCTTATACTTTGTTGAGCTTTCTTACACAGCTGGTTCTTTACCATTTGAGCCATGCTTCCAGCTATCCTTTTACTGGTTATTTTGGAAATAGAATCTTGCCAACTTTTCTGGCTGGGTAGCTTCAAACCACCATCCTCAGCCTCCTTCCTAAGTAGTGAGGATTATAGGCAGAGTCATTGTGTGTGTGTTTTGTGTGTGTGTGTGTGTGTGTGTGTGTGTGTGCTCACACGCAAGAGCATGCCTGCCTGCACTGAAGCTTGAACTCAGGTCCTTGAGCACTTACTCAGCTTTGATCAAGGCTGGCATTGTTACCACTGAAGCCACATCTCTACTTCCAGTTTCTTGGAGTTTTATAGATGCTTCTGCCTGGGCAGAAGAGGTTGGAAGATGCCTGTAATCCCAGCTATTCAGGAAGGGGAAGATTGAGAAGATTATACTTCAAGGCCAGCTCAGACAAAACGTTAGTGAGACTTCATCTCAACCAATAAGCTATACAGAGAGCCATAAGTAAGAGAAGTGCAATCTTAGATCGGCCCCAGATCACAAGATGCTACCTGAAAAATAACCTAAAAAAGCAAAAAAGGTTGGAGGCATGGCTCAAGTGATATAGCATCTACCTGGCAAGCATAAGGCCCTGATTTCAAACTCCAGTAGCACTAAAAAAGAAAACTGAGTCCAGGCACTGGTGGATCATACCTATAACCCTACTCAGAAGGCTGAGATCTGAGGATCACGGTCTAAGCCAGCCTTAAAAGGAAAGTCTGTGAGACTCATCTCCAATTAACCACTGGAAAGCAGGAAGCAGAGCTATGGCTCAAAGTGGTAGAGCACTAGCCAGGCACCGGTGGCTCACGCCTGTAATCCTAGCTACTCAGTAGGCTGAGATCTGAGGATGGCAGTTCAAAGCCAGCCCAGCCAGGAAAGTCCATGAAACTCTTATCTCCAGTAAACCACCAGAAAACCTGAAGTGGCACTGTAGTTCAAGTGGTAGAACACTAGTCTTTTTTTTTTTTTTTTGTCGGTCATGGGGCTTGAACTCTGGGCCTGGGTGCTGTCCCTCAGCTCTTCAGCTCAAGGCAAGCCCTCTACCACTTGAGCTACAGCGCCACTTCCAGTTTTCTAGTGGTTTATTGGAGATAGGAGTCTCACAGTCTCTCCTGCCCGGGCTGGCTTTGTACCGCGATCGTCAGATCTCAGCCTCCTGAGTAGCTAGGATTACAGGCGAGAGCCACCAGCGCCTAGCAGAACACTAGTCTTGAACTGAAGAGCTGAGGTACAGTGCCCAGGCCCAGAGTTCTAGCCCTCCGACCGACCAAAAATAAAAAAAAAAAAAAAA